GTCCGGAGGATGCATCAGACTAGGCCGAGCATGCTTTGAAGTGCCATCTAATCAAAACATAAGAAAGTTCAATTACATGGCAGTTGAGAAGTGCATATAAAATATTTACGTAATTGAGCTCACTTTGCAACATCAACTAAAGCACTTTCCACAAAACGCCATAAAAACAAAGCTGGAGCACCATAACCATGCTTGCGGGAGCTTCTCAAATACGCAATAGCGCTCCGCATTCACATACATAACTGGTCACATAACCACACATTGGTCGTAAAAAGAATTTTCAAAGGTACGTGGTTAACATTTCTGCACCTTTTTTTGCATATACAACATTTACGTCAATCTTTGATACATTGCTCATAGCCAATATTCCGCGCAAGACAAAAAAAAACCGCGAGTGATTTTGTGGATTCAGTGCAATAACTGAATATCCTTTCTTGTTCAAATAAACAAGTGCACGGTCACTATTAACAGAACACTCACTACAGGTTGTTGGTGTAATCATTGACTTAAATAAACGTCGGCACACATACTACATATTTTCTATAAAATTTCTTATTTCAAAATCTTTCACATTTGCAAAGCACAGATTCAATTCAGTTGCACATTTTATCGGCTTTTACCTTTTGCAGATAGTTTAAATTGCCAACTCATCACACCAAAAACACTTGTTTAAGTTTCGAGAAATTATAACCTCATTTACTATTGCACTATTGTGATTGCACCTAAACAAGTATTTCACTTTCACTCCTGGAATTCCAGTTCTGCATCCACAAGATCACTACTCGCGCTGTAATATTACTTGGATCAAAAATTTCCAAACATATTTTTCCATTGTACTTGGTTTGAGTTGGGTGGCGACCATCTTCTGCAAATACATACATACATATATAAGTGAATCATACATATGTTTAGGCGCGTCTGCTAACACCAGGCGCCTAAATACATGCTATGTACTGCTGCATGTGCAAAAATTATACAATTTATGAAATTTTTGCACATGCACGTCTCAACTGCCATGTAATTGAACTTTCTTAAGTTTTGATTAGATGGCACTTCAAAGCATGCTCGGCCTAGTCTGATGCATCCTCCGGACACTGCTTCCGGAGCATTTTGCGGACTCTGCATGACTTAAAAAAATGCGGAGGTGGCAAACGAACTTTGCCATTGGCCACAGTGCCTACCCACCATTTTTGAACCAATAAATATTTTTTTTTTATATAAATACATACATGTAAACATACTGGCCTCCCCTCTCACTGAGTTATTCAGAATCAAAACACTTCTGCAATGCCAAAAACCGACAAGCAAAAATTCCGCGAAGAGTGGATTAAACATCCTGAGTTAAACAACTGGATTGTGGAAGATTTGAATGATTCCAAGAAAGCATTGTGCAAGTATTGCAAAAACAGTTTGATCTGCAAGTTACACGATTTGCTTGCACATGCTAAATCTAAACGTTGGGTTGTCTATTTTTTTCCTGGCCTACCTATATGGTTGGTAGGTATTAACAGGTAAGAAATACTGGTAATCTTCACGCATCTGTTTAACACATTCTATAGGTTTTATGCCTTCGATTGGAGTATAATATGTTTATTAAACAACTAAAAAAACTTTAAAAAATAATAATTTTTACATATTTAATTAAAAATATCCTGGCCAGGATTTTTTCAGCCAACACACTCGCTAAATATTTACTAATCCGTTAAATTTCATACAACACAGATTTCATCCATTAAACAGATGGGTGAAGATTGCGCCTTACTCGGATCTTCTCATACATATATCGCACGTTTAATAATATACAGAATTTTCAAAATTTCAATTTTGTGGGAAACCGCAATCAAGGTTTGATCAATTCATACAGTTGGTATACCAAAAGACAGATGGAAAGACACATATCTTCGCCATTTTTGGGAAGTTTAGTTATCTGTTAGGCTGAACATATTCTCCTTATGAAGCTTGTTAATTGTGTGATGAAATCTCCAAAAACGTAAGTTTTGAATTAAATGTCTATATTATTAATCTCTATACTATGATCCCTTATAAATAAAATTAAACTGACAAATTATTAAAAAAAATTCGTTTTTTGTAACAGTTTTCAGAATTTAAATGATTTAGCGGGATTCTAGCGATTTTTGTTTATAAATCTGTCGGAATGGCAAAAACATAAATGGAAACACTGGTTAATTACTATTTTAAAATTAAATAGCCGAAATTGTTTTATCCACAATAATGTTAATCAAAAACGGCCATATGCTCAATAAAATTGTTGAATATAATTGTTATTAGGCCATAAATAACAAAAACAAGTAACTTAAGGACCACACCTAAAAGTTAAACTTTCAAAAATAGAATTACATATTAACAAAAACCAACAAAAACAACAACCACATGATCAAGTGTAAATAGCAGTCGAGTAGCTGCGCTTGATTTTAGTTGGCTTAACACATGAATAGAGTGGAAAAGACAACAACAGTTTACGTGGCGAACTTAGCTCAGTGGGTAGACTAGTGAGGAAGTCTGATGAGGGGATGTGGTGATTTCCGAAATAGCAGATATAAATTCTACCAAAATTTAAATCGTTGTTTTTTTGCACAAAAATTTTAATTTAACACGGCCTCAAACTTAATAAAACAGTTGAATATAACTGATATAAGGCCATAAATCAAAAACAAATATATAATTTTTATATACCGGTTGGAGGTCATATAAATACTTTAACTTTAAGGGTACACTCATCGGTAAAGCCTGTTAAACGTCTTTTTAATTTAACCGTATTTGACAATTCTCCACAATTCTCTATCCGCCACTGATGTGAACGAAGTGGAAAAGAGTTTTAAAAATCAGAACAAATCAGCACAGGTTTCCGAAAAATAAGGACATTCGCGTACTGAATTGACAATTAAAGATTTTCAGTACAGCGAGTGAAAATTCAGTACTGTCCTTTCCAATCAGTACGTCTGGCAACCGTATCTACACGGGTCGCGATGCTGGTAACAAAGGAAGAGCAAGGCCTCCTCTGAGTTGGAAATACCAGGTGGAGAAGGACTTATCTTCACTTGGCATTTCCAATTGGCGTCAGTTGACAGAGAAACGACCGTCGTGCTTTGTTGGAGCCGGCCAAATCGCTTAGGCGGTTGCATCGCCTATCTATGTACAAACTGCTATTTTTGGATCTCGTTTTTGCTAAAAAGTGCTGTTACAGTTTTAATGTAGTAAAAGTTTTAATTTTTGCCCGATTTACGCATAATTCCCACCGCATCCTTTTGTGCATACTGAATGCTACCTCCTTTCATTACTCTCTTAAATTCCGGAGTTTGTTTTAATTAATAATTATAATTATACAAAGTTTCGCTATAAATCGAAAAATTTTATGTAGAATAACAATCGGTCAGAATTCAATTGGTAGATACCTACTGTAAGAATTTTAAGGACCTACATTAAGGCAATTTAAATAAAAAATGTTCTATAACTGAGGCCGCGAATACTAAGCATAAGAATATTACAGTAAGTAATATGTGCATATGTATGTATATAATATTTTACTATATCGACCCCTTTAAGCGAAATTATCGTATGTGCCTGAAACCAAATTTTATAGGAGAGCGTTTATACTGCATACTTTCCAAAATGGTTGTATTTTTATAAGCTTTTATTTAACTTGGTCATCCCGCGCAAATCGCGGAAATTTCCAATCGATTTTAAACTGATTTCCCGACAAGTTAGAGACTTGAAATTTTCAGCATAGTTCCAATCACGATGACAATGCAATTTAATATATAAATGAATTTCCCATATGGTCCAGGGGTCTTGATTCAAAGGCGGTCAAAAAATAGTAAGATTTATGGCTAACAGAGCGTAATTTGCCAAAGAACGTAAAACCACTATAAAATTGTTAAAACTGCCGGCGATAGTGTAGCAAAACTATTTGTGGCAAATTCTAAATATCAACCTAGTCTAGATATGAACCTCGTTCTAGGAAGTAGAATACTCCAGATGTCGCCCCGCCAGAAGCAGTTAAATATTGCGCCTAAATATATGCCATGCTACAGCGGAAATGGACGACACGCCATTTCTTTAAATAAACTTAACTGCTGTTATATGTACATATGTATGTATATACAAAACGTAAACAAACAACATTTTGCTTGCCAAGTCTTCTGTTCGCTTTCATTGCAAGTTGAATTATTTTAATATCTATTGCAAAATTTTTTAAATAAAATAAAATAACACTTTTTAATATACAACGCTTTTATAAATGGACTAAAAATTATAAAATAAAATAATGTAAAAAAAATATTTTTTAAAAACAAGCTTTTATTTAACCTGTACAATCAAAGGAATAAAATGAAGTAGTGTAACAAAAGATTTTTTAGCACGAAAATTTTGTCAAAACTGCACTAAAATGAATAAAATAAAATAAGTCAAGGTCTCGTTAAAGTTACTAAAAGCCATTAAGTGAAAGGAGTTATTCAAACTCTAATGAAAATTGCTAACAATTTGTACTAATTTACTTCGTTTTTAAAAAAGCTTGTCGGCGAATTCAGCGTACACGCATAATTGGTTAGGTATGTATGTATGTATGCAGATATTTAAATGCCGGTAAAGTGCAGTTTTGACAAAATTTTCGTGCTAAAAAATCTTTTGTTACACTACTTCATTTTATTCCTTTGATTGTACAGGTTAAATAAAAGCTTGTTTTTAAAAAATATTTTTTTTACATTGTTTTTTTTGGTTTATTTTTTTACTACGAACAAAATACTTTGTGGCACATGTGATAAAATATACACTAAATTTTTGGCGCAACTATAGAGATTTAAGCTACAATATTTGACCAGGTGATGAGGCGTGTGGTTTAGAATAAATTTGTAACAGAAAGTCAATTTCGAAAAATATGTCACTTTTAAAATTGCACATACGATGATTTCCCGCAAAGGAGTCGATACATACAAAACAAATTTTCTGTAAATATTTACACTTAATGCATGTCTCCAACTTACTGTATTAGGCGTTCGAAACCAATCCAATTGAGTTGTGGCTAATAATTGCGATATTGTTGCAAAACGGTGGAAAAACATTGCAATAAACTGTATAATCAATATCAAGCCAAAAAACAAAACAAAACATAAACCGATGGGGTCCAATTCTTTATGACGTCTATAAACGTAAATTTGGGAATTGGTATCATCGTACGTTATGTAGTCAACTGGATCAATTGGCCACTCCAGGTGTAGATAATCCTTTTTCAGTTGGAGTAAAAAGACAATCAAAACGAAAATGGAGTTAATCATTATAAACGCAAAGGCGAACATGTTGCGTAATTCTCGAAGGCTCTCAGCAATTTCGGCTTTCTTTTCTATTGTGTGAAACATTGGCCGCAAGTAATGTTTAATCAATTCCTTCCAAAAACGTTTTTCTTTAAGAGATATCTCGCCCAACTCAGAGTCAACCAATAACGGGTCGTTTATCCAGCCGGGTAAATACTCTCGACTTCCGGCTTCAATATCACCTGACGCTGTTTCTATATCTTCATCCTTTTAAAAATATAACACTTCTCTTTACTTATTTACAACTTTAAATACCCGTTACGAACATCCTTACCCTTTTTACAGCGACTTCCCTTGTACCCCACGAAACATCATTCATATTAAAAACAGAATAAATAAGAAGTAACATGTACATAGAGGGGATGGTGATGTAGTAGATAAAGCCACAGATTAACGCGCTGACCTCTTGTGGATGAACCACGCCTAAAACGATAGAAACAAAACACTCGTACAATCAATGTTATTGTATCTCCTTCAACCAGCAATTACCTGCAATAAAAATTTGTATGAAAACCAGGAGAAAGAAAAGCGATGCTGGAGCTAATGGCCCATCATCTATCATTTGTATGATTATGCCAATCAAAACGGCCATCATTACCAGACAATACATAGAGCTTATTACAAAAGCTAGCAAAAGCTGAAATTTTAATAAAATAAAATTATTTTATTTTTATTATTTATTATATGAGATACTAAGATAAATAGTCGGTATCTTTAATAAAAGTATGCCCATTCTACAATAACATAAATGAATAAACATATTTACAATCGTTACCCTTATATAGAATAGGGCCTTTCTAAAATTGGTGTATTTTTACGGAGTGGTTACAAAACTTCATAAAAACTAAAGTTCTTAAGTTGGGAATTTCTTCAAAATCCTTTGTTTAATAAACACTCAAAAACTAATTTATTGGTTGAGTGGCTAGTTTTGAATAGAGATGGGCACGTGAGTGATTTTGGCTCACGTTCACGCACGCTCACGTTTTGTAAATCACACATACTCACATTCTGCTATATTTTGATCAATCACGTTCACGCACGCTCACGACGCCTAGCTTTTTAATCACACACGCTTCTTCACGGACCTTTTTTTCAAATTTAAACTTTATATTTATGAATAGCATTTGACATACATTGTTACAAAAGCTTGTCCAAACACCTTGCCTGGCATGAACGCACTATTATTTTTTTGTAACAAATTTCATAGCAAAGATTTCACACCAATATTCATTCAATGTAATTTTATAATGACATTAGCGCATATTTTTGTTTAAAAATAATATTTTGTCGAGGGTTTCACCAAGCGATAGTGTACGTCTTTCTTCTAAAATTCTGCCTGACACAGAAAGAAATCTTTAAATAGCTGCTGCTACTAGCTGGTATGCTTAAAATTTGAAAGGCTTCCAAGAAGTGGAAAATATTAAGCTTACTCTCAAAATTTTAAAACATCGTCACAACTTTTATTTTCTGATTATTTGAAATAAATCAGTATTTCCGTAATAATGTCTTCAAAAACTGTTTTTTTTTTTAATAATAATCCCAACGGTTTTTACCCTACATTCCCGCCCATCCGCACGAGGGGCGCAGTCCGCATGACGTACGGAACCAGTATTTTAAATTTTTGCGCCGAGTCACGTTAGGCAGGAGTTTGTTAAGTGTCGAGATCTAAAACTGTTCAGCTATAGAACTAAATTCCTCAGCCGATTTTATGTCTTTATTTTAATGATTCATTTATTGAGAGAGGACAGTATCGATTTCTTAATGCTGAAAAGCGGATCTGATATATCAAACGTCATCTGCATGTATTAAAATTTTGGAACATTGTATATCTGTAGAAATATCGTTTATAAAAAGCAAGAACAGAATCGGGCCTAGGTGGCTACCTTGAGGGACTCCTGAAGTAACATCAATGACGTCAGAGATAGTATTTTTAAAAATTACCCTTTGTGATCTATCAAAGAGTTATGAAGAGATCCAACGTAGAAAATTAGGTGAAAGACCAAGAAGATCAAGTTTATAGATGAGCATCGAGTGGCACAGTTTGTCAAATTGTTTACTGAAGTCAGTATATATAACATCAACAGTTTTGCTTTCACTAAATGCTTTTGAGATATAGGATGTTAATTCAAGTAAATTTGTAGAAGTTGATTTGCCCTTGCAAAATCCATGTTGACTATATGAAATGCTAGAAGAGATAGAATGCGTCAACTGATTTGTTATAATTGCTTCAAATAATTTAGGAATTGCAGAAAGCTTAGCTATTCCCCGGTAGTTCTCCACTGAATATCTGCTACCGCTTTTATGTAACGGGGTTATGAACGATTCTTTCCATATATGTAGTTGGAAAAACACCCTCTTACAGAGACAAGTTAAATCAGATAATCAGCACAATTTATAAGAATACAAGTAGGGATCTGGTCAGGACCATAACTNAACGGGGTTATGAACGATTCTTTCCATATATGTAGTTGGAAAAACACCCTCTTACAGAGACAACTTAAATCAGATAATCAGCACAATTTATAAGAATACAAGTAGGGATCTGTTCAGGACCATAACTGAATGACTGCTTTAAGGATTTCAGATAAACTACTACATCATCGGGAGATATTATTGGGATATTTATTGAGTTCATTGGACATAGTTTAAAATGATAGTCAATGTTAGCATGTGTTGATTGCGTCCTGGTCCGAGGAGTATAAAATAAAGCTCATGTATGCTGACATGAATTGTGCTTTATTTCCTGTTCAATTTGTACAATAAGGATATAATAGTTTTTTAAATCATAAATAAATCAACTTACGCTTTTGTGCGCTCCTAAGCTCCCATCACCAGGACCACAATCAATTTCCTTCTAGAACCTTTCTACGTTCTTTTGGTTTTGATTATGGTTAGTGATGGGATTACAACATTTTCGATAAAATACAATGACATAAAGGTACAAACACACTGTTACAGCCGCATCAACCTAAGGGTACAAACACACTGCTACAGCCGCATCAACATCCCCGCCTCCGTGAATCTAGCTAGATTCACCAACTTCGAGTTTTGCTAACATACAGGCTGGTCGCTTAAAGATGCCCACCTGAGTCTGGACCCGTGCAGCTCTGACTTGTTCATCTTTGCCCGGAAATACTTCCATTATTCGCCCCATAAGCCACTTCGTTCGATGAACACCGCTATCGCATATGAGGACTACGTCGCCTACGGCCAAAGGCTTCACTGGCTGGTACCATTTCGTCCTCCTGGTCAGGTCAGGAAGGTATTCATCTACCCATCTCTTCCAGAATCGGTATTGCATCTGTTGGGCCTTACGCCATTGTTTGCGAGTGGCTTGGAACTTCTCTTCATTCGGATGTGGCGTTTGCTCAGCGTTTGGGGTACCTAAAAGAAAATGATTGGGAGTTAGCGGTTCATCAGTGGGTGCGTCTAGTGGGATGTGTGTCAACGGTCGGGAATTAACGATGTTCTCCGCCTCACACATGAGACTGTATAGGACGTGTTCTTGAATACTTTCGTTATGTACTGCATGACCCATAGCTCTTTTGACGCAGCGTACTAAACGTTCCCAGCATCCTCCAGCGTGCGGGTTCAACGGGCAATTGAAAACCCAGTCAATGTTTTTATTCGCAAGCGCATTTGCTATTTTGCCATTATTAAACTCCATAAGCTGTCGTTTAAGCTCCCTGTCAGCACCAACGAGGTTCGTACCGTTGTCCGAACGGATACGCACAGGAGTTCCACGCCTACACATGAAGTTCCTGATACATAACAGGCAGGTGTCGGTGGAGAGGTCCTTCGCCATTTCCAAATGTATCGCTCTCGTTGTTAGGCAAGTAAAGAGGGCGATCCAGCGCTTCTCGTTTCGCCTACCGATGACAACGTTGAACGGTCCCATGTAGTCTAAGCCGGTGTATGTGAAAGGCCTAACGAATGGTGTCAGCCGGTCTACTGGCAATTGGCCCATTTCTGGTTGATCTGGAACGCCTCTTGCATTGACGCAAAACTGGCATCTTTTAGTGGCGCGACGCACTTCGACCCTTATATTAGGGATCCAGTACTTGCGTCGTATTTCGGCAATTATTGTGGATTCGTTTTGGTGTTTCCAGGAGCGATGGTAATGATCTATCAGCAACTCCGTTACGTAGCATCGCTTAGCTAGGATTATCGGGCGTCTCGTACATGATGAAATCGCGGTGGCCGCGTCTATTCGACCACCCAGTCTTATGACGCCCTCCGCATCCATAACGGGACTGAGCTTCCACAACGCGCTACCCTTCTCTATCCGCTTGCCTATGCGCAGGGCATGGTATTCATCCGCAAACTCTTCCATCTGCGTTGATCGTAAGACTACTGTTTCGGCTTTTTGCAACTCGAACACCTTCAAGTCGTCATAAACGCGTGTCGCTTTTGTCTTGAGACAGTTTTCCCGAAATCGCAACATCCAGCTAACTACTCTTCTCAGTCGGTTGAAGGACGAAAATCTCTTAAAAAATGAAGTATTAGTATTAATTATTAATATCGTGAATTTGTTGCGCAGCTCAACGTCTGTAGGTTCACAAGATGCATTTGGCGGCCAGTTGTTCTCGTTTTGCTGTAAAAAGCTCGGACCTGTGATCCAGAATGACACGCGCTTTCCATCTCTGGGACGCGTTCCGAAGTCAGCTGGGTTAAGTGCGCTGGGTACCCATCGCCATTCATTAATTTCACTGCCATCCAAAATTTCGTTTACCCGATGCGCTACGTAGGGCTTGTAACGCCGATGGTCCGATTTTAACCAAGACAATACTGTTTTTGAGTCAGACCACATCGTAACCCTACTTGGGATCTTGTCGTGACTTGCAATAATACTATTTTTGAGGCGCGTAGCGAGCACTGCTGATTGCAATTCGAGACGAGGAACAGATACCAGCTTAATTGGAGCACACTTAGTTTTACCAGCGATGAAACCCAGTCGGATATTGCCGTGATCGTCTACAAGTCTCCAGTATGCAACAGTTGCGTATGCTGACTCGCTCGCGTCCGCAAACACGTGTAGTTCGACGGGTCCCGTAGCAAATGTAGCTCCGTAGCAGCGTGGTATACTTATACTCTCCAGATCTNGACGGGTCCCTTAGCAAATGTAGCTCCGTAGCAGCGTGGTATACTTATACTCTC